GGCCATTCCCGTTTAAAATTTTACGTATATTTGAAGGCTCCGGAACGGGCCGTTCCGAAATTAGTACGGGCCGTTCCGGGTGCGCCAGGATGCCTATAAATAGGAGGCAGGGGGGGTGAAAAAATTATACTGAGTGAGAAGGAAAAATCTTAGAGAGAGAAAGAGGAAGAGAGAGAGAGAGAGAAAGAGAAAGAAAGAGAGAGAAAGGAAGAGGGAATCCAGAGGAGGAGGCCCTGCCCAAGTTTCAACTCCGCTTATCCAGGTAAGGGGGGAAGTGAGAAACCTCGCTCGGGGGTGTAGGGATAATTGTTGGATAGTTTGATTTTCGGATTGGCCCCCAATCCCTTGCCTGTTGTTCTGTTTTTCTGTTTGCTCTACTTTGTTCCTTGTTACTTTGTTCTGTGTTACTTTGTTTTGTGTTACTTTGTTCCTTGTTACTTTGTTCTTTGTTACTTTGTTCCTTGTTACTTTGTTCCTTGAAAGTAATAAATGAATATGGAGTTAATGCTAAAATTAAATGTTTTAATATGAAAAAGAATGTTCTCTGTGAATTCCTATGCGGACCTTATGAGGAGTATTTATGACATGACCATGTGAAATATGGACAAATGACATGAGACCTAAGAATGGACTATTGAGACAAGTTATGATTATGAGAACATGAAAAATGATGACATGATATACTTAATGAAATTCTGTAATAAGTTAAATGTTGAGTTAATGAAATAATAAATGTGTGACATGCATCATATGCATATATTACTCCAGGTGTGCCGCTGAGGCCGCATACCAGTGATGCTAACAAGGTGTACCTCAGAGTCACCGATAGTTGTGATATGCTAACAAGGTGTACCTTAGGGTCACCGACAGTTGTAATATGCTAACAAGGTGTACCTTAGGGTCACTAACAGTTGTAACATGCTAACAAGGTGTACTTTAGGGTCACCGACAGTTGTACAGGTGTGCCTTAGGGTCACCAGTGATGATATGTGAAACTTCCTTATGGTGCCACATGCATGCATTTATGAGTCGAGTCCATGACATCATTGCATGACAAATAAGTGTATATGTGTTGTGGATTATGTATGTGTATTATCTACATGTGACTTATATTTGTTGTGTGTGTGTGCTATCTAACCTTTATTTCTGCACTTGAAACTGAGTGAGATGTTTCTCACTCCCTTGTTATTTTTGTATATGTTTAAATTATGTTACAGGTGATCAGCATCATGAGGATGTTGGTGGTGAGGCTTGAGGCTTAAGGCTTCAGTGGGGCATGCTCTGATAGGATGTGACATCGGGCATAACTAGGCTTATTTTGGATGTTATTGTATTAAAAAGCTTTAATTTTCTCTTCTTTTGTAAATTTGAACGTTCTTGAGAAAAGATCAAAATGTACATCTTTGTCATATTATTTTTATGAATTGAAAGTTATAAATTAATTCCTAACTAGGAGGCACTGCCACCTTTGCTAGAATTAATTCTATATTTTCTTTTATATGACTTCTTAAGTTTTGATACTTATATGTTGACTTTTTATGATTTATGAGTTACGAATGTGAATCTTCTACCTTAAGATATTTGAGACAATTGTTTTATATAGGAATATGTTGTTAACTATGAAAGATTTTATTTACTTCAAAAAGAAATTTTTTTTTTGTTTACTCTTATATATTATTTGGTAGGAAGGGAGTAAAGGAGAGGGGAGAGAGATTTTATAAACTTTTATAGTTTGATTCAATTTTTAAGTAGAGTGAGAGGGATAAAATCACTCTTTATCTAATTTTACTTCTAGTATTAATGAATTTAGAAGGGAAGAGTTTTAAATATATATTAATGTTCAAATCTATAAATTCAATAATGTAAAAACTAAAAAATATTTCATTAACTAAAGCAAAAACTAAGTGGAAATATATCACATTAAAACTCTCCAAATAACAAGGCTAAAAACTAAAAATAATTACAAAGAATACTAATTGAAATGGAAATATCTTAAAAGAAACTAAATTCATAATGCAAGGATAAAAGAAAAATAATCTCTAACTAAAACTTTGATGTCACATCCTATTAGAGTGATCCTAAAATAAAATTCAAACTCTTCCATAATTAAATTTACTAGTGTAAACAGGCAAAACACAAGATAACAAAAGAAAAGAAGAGTGAGAAACTTCTCACTCCAACTACCGATATAAGAAATGACTGGATAGGCACAAACATACAAAAACATACTATAAAGCATGCATGTAATTCAACATCAATGATTCCATCTATAACATTATATCAATTGAAGCAATATTCATTCAATCACATTCTAATACATTAGATCTCTTCATATATCAAAGTCACAATTCAAACACAATATGTTCATACAAGAATAAAGACTTTCCTTAAAACTACATGTATGTGACACTAGTAAAATTACTTTATCCCTATCAGAAGACTAAGTAGATTATGAGGACATGTCAAGTCATAATCATCACAACACTCTACAATAGGAGAAAATACACCAATGACACATTGGGACAATTATGTTTCGCAAGTTTCAGCCCCATGCATACAAACGGGCAAGACCAAGTCTCCCAAACCTAGTTGTCTCCAAGGTCACGAATCTCCAAACTATTACATAAGGGAACCTTTTCTAGTAGTTTATTTCACATCGTACCCATCACAAAACACATTATGTATATGATGTATGTCACATAGATTTTATGCATGGTCATACTAGTCACATTTACACGTATACATTGTTTCTCATAACATTAGTCACATCACTGCTAAAATATACTTAGGCTTATTCACATAATCACTTTACACGATGTCATATTTCACATACTTGAAAGGTTCATCCCATACTTTCACACTTTTCTACACTACATACATAATTCAATCATCTCAATTAATCAACTTACATAGCCCATCAATCAAGGGTCACAAATTAATTAGTTTTACATTTTCAGCTATAGGCACAAGATAGTGCTTGATGAGGGATACCCTACGTTTGATGCAATCAAGTCGCAAGCCTCTAGAAAAATCATGCTTGATGTGATTCTCCTGCACCTAACGAATTTACAATAGGGAGCCTCCGTGTTTGGCGTGACTAAGCTCATACCCAACGCTAATGACATCACAAGCATTTTGTCACACTAATGCAAGGTGTGTATCTCCCCACGTCCAGCGTGATCATCACAAAGGTGCTATATAGCCTTCGCGCACGATGACTCCAACATGGCACCCAACGCAATATCTAAAATGTCTAATTTGCATAATTTATGAGTCATTCTCGAATTGAGTCTCATGAATTTTACAAATTCTTTTTAGAAAAAAGGTATCTATGCTCTAATTAATTCATTCTTATTATAAGGGTTTCCTATTTGTAATTATTTCTGCAATAATTTGATTTATACTCGTCCTTAAGATCCTTCTGAAAACTCACAAACACTCACATATTTACAACTATAGGTAATTCTAGGAATCAAAAATGTAATCACAACTTATTAACGCATTCAGAACACTGAGAAATTCACAAACAACATAGAATCACAAATAGAGACAAAATCATAGATCATAAATACAATTATACCAAAACAACGCAATTATAAATCAAATGAACAATAGATACATATCATAGTTAAGTTTGAGTTTAATCCCTCATGCATTCAAATGAAACACAAATGAAATTGAGGGTCAATCTCACTACCCAACAGAACTCAAAATGAGGTTCTCACTCCCCTCTTACCTCAATGATCGTCAAACTCTAGATGCAGATATTTAAAATTGTCTTCAACTATCTTTGGTTCTCCCTCCTCAATGAGAAGAAAGAAGATGAATACTCTCAAAAGTAGAACTTTTGTACATATGATACAAAACTCTTTGTTATTTGAGTTTTTAATTTTTTGTTATATTAAATAAATGGGTATTAACATATGTAACTTCCAATATTATTTGGCTCCTTTGCATATTATTTTCTATTACATAAATGATTTTCATATTAAATCTTTTTTTCATTGACATTCTTTTGTTCTTAAAAAAAATTCTTAATGCAGAAAAAAATAAGGTTATCAATTTTTTTGTTGACTTTTTTTAATAAAATTGACCCTCAAGTCTTATAAAATTATGAAAGTTTTACGATGAGATAAATTTAAAAGATGATAATGTAAAATATTATATGTTGTATTAAATTATGAATTAAAAACCCTTATACAACAATGTCATCAAGGAAAAAATTTATTGCTAACATTGTTATTGGGAAAGTTAAATGGAGACTTAACCTGTGTATAATATTTTTATAACTTTCTGTCAGAGTACAACAATCTCTCTAATATTGAGATGTTAATGTTTAATGAGAAGATCATTTTTTAGCTATTTTTAAAAATATTTTTTAAGTTATTATAACAAGTATGTTTTCTTCAATTGTAATTTCTTATTAAAATATTTTATTTATAGTACACGTTTTACAATATAAAAATATTCAAACATGTATATATGAAGAAAGTTTGATATGAAAGTTATATATTTACAAATTTTATATGTAAATTATTATAGATTTATATAAAAAAAATAAGTATATTTACTTTTTTTAATATGCAAATTATTGTAAGTTTATATAACAAATTAGTATATATATATATATAT